CTCCCTGTGGGTCTGCCCTCCCTGCGGGTCTGCCCTCCCTGCGGGTCTGCCCTCCCTGCGGGTCTGTCCTCCCTGCGGGTCTGCCCTCCCTGCGGGTCTGCCCTCCCTGCGGGTCTGTCCTCCCTGTGGGTCTGACCTCCCTGTGGGTCTGCCCTCCCTGTGGGTCTGCCCTCCCTGTGGGTCTGTCCTCCCTGCGGGTCTGTCCTCCCTGCGGGTCTGTCCTCCCTGTGGGTCTGCCCTCCCTGCGGGTCTGTCCTCCCTGCGGGTCTGTCCTCCCTGTGGGTCTGCCCTCCCTGTGGGTCTGTCCTCCCTGCGGGTCTGCCCTCCCTGCGGGTCTGCCCTCCCTGCGGGTCTGTCCTCCCTGCGGGTCTGTCCTCCCTGTGGGTCTGCCCTCCCTGCGGGTCTGCCCTCCCTGTGGGTCTGCCCTACCTGCGGGTCTGCCCTACCTGCGGGTCTGTCCTCCCTGTGGGTCTGCCCTCCCTGCGGGTCTGTCCTCATGTGGGTCTGCCCTCCCTGCGGGTCTGCCCTCCCTGTGGGTCTGCCCTCCCTGTGGGTCTGTCCTCATGTGGGTCTGTCCTCCCTGCGGGTCTGTCCTCATGTGGGTCTGTCCTCCCTGCGGGTCTGTCCTCCCTACGGGTCTGTCCTCCCGGTGGGTCTGTCCTCCCGGTGGGTCTGTCCAGATGTCGCCCTGGCGTCCCTCTCACCCTTTCCTGCTCAGCCCTCAGCACTGGGAAAAGAGTGGGTCCCTAATTCTGGGTGACGAATAACAATAAAAAGCATTACTGGCCACAGCAGAAAGAGTGACTAAGCGGTGAGCATACTGAGCACATGCTGGGCGCGGGTTCCCTGGCGCACAGGCCACGGGCAGGAAGAGGAAAAATATTATTGTTACCCTGAGAGCTAATCACAGCCTCCATACTCACGGCCTCACAAGACAAGAGAGCTTGTGGCCACATCAGGTGTGACTTAGAGCATGAAGTCTTGGGCCCGGGTGGATGCTACCACTCAGCTGACTCCTGGAGGCTTGCAGGAAGGGGGCGGGAGAGTAGGAGGTGGTGGGCAGAGCCCCACCTCTGGAATTCTCCTTTTTAGGGATTCAGAGCCTGAAGACGCCTGCTCTGACCCCGGGCCCCACTCCCAGGTCCCAGCTGCAGTGCCCAGGCCCCTTGCAGGGTGCCCGCGGGGCTGTGAGAGGGTGTGGACAGGGCACAGGGAGCACACAGTGGAGGCTGAGCAGCCCACATCCCAGGAGGGCAGCCCTAGAGGACAGAGTGATGGAGGGGTTGAGTGGAGGAGGAGGAGGGTAGCGCTGAGCAGAGACCACACCAGAGCCGTGGCTCTCAGCTCGGGCCACGCGTTGTGCCAAGTGGGATTCCCTACAGCATCACCCGGACCCTCTGAACGGAGGCACAGGGCACTGCCCGCCCTCTCCCAGCGCCGGGGAGGGCGCTGCCTCTCGGGGACCAGAGTGCAGTGGGGAGAAGCTCGGCTCAAGGATGTCGCCAGGAGCAGAGGTGGGGCAGAGGGTCCGCGGGCGCGGGAGTGGCTCTGGGTCAGGGCCGGTCAGAGCCTGCTGCCCACCGGCCAGGCGAGTGCCACCTGGGCCTACGGTGGGCTCTGCCCGAGGAGGTGGGGGAAGGGCGGCCTGGACATGTCACCAAGGGCCGCTGTGGCTCAGTGCTGGGAGTCCCGTGGACAGCCGCGTGCTCTGCCCACTGCCATGGACCCTGCAGGCCAGGCCAATGGTTTTGGTCCCACTTTGAGGACCCGTGGGGGCTGACAGATAAGTCTACTTGTGAAGAGTGGGCAGAGGGGTCAGGCCAGGAAGACATGGACCCCGCCCGTGTCCTCTCCGCGGGGTGACCTCAGCCATCGTGGCATGCCTGGGCTACAGAGCCCACCACACAGACCAGCAGGACGCCGCCCGAAGGCTCTGCCCCGTGTTCTGGTCGGAGAGGGGCAGGTGGAGAGCCAGGCCGCAGCTCCATGGGAGGGACAGAGAGCGGGAGAGGGAGAGGCCGGAGAGGGAAGGCGCTGGGCTGGTGCGGAGCAGGGAGGGGATGGCCCTCGGTCTCCACTTCTCCCCGTTACAAAGTAGCCGCTCTTCTGGCCCCTCCTCTTCCTGTCCCTGTCGCTCCTTCCCTCCCGTCTCCGGCCTAAGCCTTCGGTCTGCCACGGGCTGCGTGCCTGTCCTGCTTTCAGGCCTGGACATAGTGCAGAGGAGAGAAGCACCTCGATGGGCTTCTCACTCTTAACCTCCCAGGCGCCGCGCCAGGAACCTGCGCATTCTCACAGGCCCGAGGGCTCCCCGCGGCCTGGCCCACAGCGCTTGGGGCCAGGCCTCCCCTGCTCGGAGCCTCCCCTCCCCCTGCCCTGTGGTCACAGGCCACCTTCGGGCTGGGCGCAGCCTTCCCTCCCAGCCACCCACTGCTCCTCCCCTCTCAAACCAGCTTCTTCTAAACGCACCTTCAGCCCGCAGGCTCCCTGCCCTCTCTTCACTCCTCCAGGCTCCAGGCAGCCCGGTGCCTGCCCCCTTTCTCCACGCCCGTGACCAGCTGGGCTGCAGCTCCTTGAGGACGGGGCCAATCCGCTTCTCCTTCAACCTCCAAAGCAGGCCCAGCATGGCCAGTGCTGGTGCTGAGCACAGTAGCGGGGGTGAGGGGTGGGGGGGTGGGGAGATGCAGGAGGTGGGGGGTGACGAGGGGCTGGAGTGATGAGACCTACTTTCTACTTAAATCAGAGCAGGTTCGGGGAACTGTCACGGGGAACGAGCAAACTGTGGTTGTCAGCTAACTGGTGGGTGGCCAGGAGGGGCCTGGCCCTGTGGCACTCAGCCAGTGTCCCTCCCCTGCCCTGGGCACCCCTAGCTCCAGATCTTTGCTGCCTGAGCTGAGAGGGGCTGGTGGTGAGCCCCAGGGACAGCAGAGCGCAGCTCCTGGAGGAGGTGGGTGGACAGCGGGGAGCAGAGCCGCCGGGATGGGAGGACCGTGGGAGCAGGAATGTGGCCGCACACCAGTGTGTGGGCAGCCGGAGACCTGGCGAGAGGCCCACAGAGACTGCCTCCTGCAGCGGGCGGTGCGGCCGGGTCTGACAAGCCGGGAGGACTGGGAGGAAGAAAACAAGACAAACGTTGACGCCTGTTTGTGCTAGAAAGGAACACCTCGCGGGACCCAGTTCCTCCTCATCCCAAACCCCAGGCTGCTTGCCTTCCTCCCCGTTCCCAGCTACTCCTCCCGCCTGGAAACCAGGGCCGGAGAGTCCCAGGAGGGTGCAGTCTCAGCCAGGAGGGTGCGGTGTGGGGGTGGGGACAGAGGAGACGGGGATGCAGAGCCTGGCTGAGGGAGGCTGAGGGTGAGCTCCCGTGGGGGACACAGGCAGGACGCTGCGGCTCCATGGCAGAACGCCTGCCCCTCTGTTCCGTGTGGTCTTTCTGAGATCTTCCCATGGACGGCCACTGAACCTGTAATGCAGACACCGTCCGAAATGCCCCATTTGACAGGTGGGGACATCGCGGGTCTGAAAAGTTTGGTGCAAGGCCCACAGCTGGGAGGTGAGCTGGGACTGGGGCCAGGCTCCACCCCTTATCAACTCTCTCCAGGGCAGGCTGCCCCTGACCTCCGGCCTGGGGAGGCTGCCCCCTGACCTCCACCTGGGGAGGCTGCCCCTGACCTCCGGCCTGGGGAGACTGCCCCTGACCTCCACCTGGGGAGGCTGCCCCTGACCTCTGGCCTGGGGAGACTGCCCCTGACCTCCACCTGGGGAGGCTGCCCCTGACCTCCGGCCTGGGGAGACTGCCCCTGACCTCTGGACCTCTGGCCAGGACCCATGGAAGCCACTAGCAGCATGTGGCTATTTACAGCGTAATTAATGGAAATGAGGTAAAAATAAAAATTCCGTTCCTCTGGTTGGGAACACTGCCCCCCCCCCCCCCCCCCCCCCCCCCCCCCCCCCGTGCTGTAGCCACGGAGACTGGGAACCTCGCCAGCATGACAGGTCCCAGCTGGGGCTGGAGGGGGAGGCGGGGGAGGCAGGGCCCACAGAGCCGAGTGCGGGCCCTGTCTGGGTGAGGGGAGCAGGGCGCGGCCGAGAGCAGGGGGCGGCCTCCCAGGCGCCTCCCTCGATACTGAGGCTCTCGCAACACCAGCACCGGGAGCAATTAAGTGTCCAAGTGGCCGGGGTGGGGCCAGCGCCGGAGGGCGGGCTGCGGGGAGGCTCCTGCAGTCCCCCGGCAGCCCTCCTGCACCTTCCTGTTTGCTCACCACCGAGCGGCTAATGGGCAGCAGGGCACCGCCTCCCCAATTAGCCTTACTGGGCTCTGGCTCACCGTGGCATCAGGGTCGCCGCTGCGGGGAGGGGCTGTGTGGCCTGTGAGAGACCAGGGCCCAGACAGGGTCCCACCCAGGCCTTCCCCAAGCTGAGGCCCTGCACCCAGCACCCCTCATGCTGCCCGAGGCTCCCCAACAGAGAGGCCCCCCAGGGAGAGGCCCCCCAGGGAGAGGCCCCCAGGGAGAGGCCCCCAGGGAGAGGCCAAGGAACGGGCTTCAGAAGGCAGATGCCCCTTCCTGACCTGAAAGTCTTGCTTGCTGCTAAGTGTATGGCAGGCAGGCGCCTGGGCAGTGACCAAGGCTCAGGGTGGGGTCAGACCCTTACATCGGGAGGAAGTGGGGGACCCCAGGCGCTGAGGTGAAAACCTGGTTAGTCAGGCAATGGGGCGGGGGTGGAGCAGGGCCCTGGCACAGAGGGGAAGCGGAAATGCCCAGGCTGTCTGCAAGGTGGGGGGCTGGGGGCTGGGCAGGCACCACGGGAAGGAGAGTAGCCATCGAGTGGGCGGCCACTGTGGGGGAGTGCCCGGTTCCAGGTTGGGCAACCAGTGGCCACGGCACCTGCGCTGTGCACTGGTGGCTGAGTAGGCAGATCCCAGCTGATTGCTTCAGCTCCTGCCACACCAACGCCCCCTGGGCACTGCCCTTCCTGCCCCTCCCTCCCCACAGTGACTCCTGCCCAGAGAATGTCCAGCCCTGCATAAAGGCCAGGCGTCCACAGCGCCCGCACTCAGAGGCCATGAAGTCCAGCATGGGCTCCTCGCGGGCACCCCGGATGGGGCGTGTGGGAGGGCGAGGGGCGATGGCCCTGTTGCTGGCTGGACTCCTCCTGCCAGGTAGGAGGCAGGGAGGGGGGCCTGGGTGGGAGGGGTGGGAGAGAAGGGTGCAGACAACAGGTGAGGGAAGGCTGGGGGACACTGTGCCTGGAGCCTGGGGGACAGGGTGCCTGGAGGCTGGGGGACACTGTGCCTGGAGGTTGGAGGACAGGGTGCCTGGAGGCTGGGGGACAGGGTGCCTGGAGGCTGGGGGACAGGGTGCCTGGAGCCTGGGGGACAGGGTGCCTGGAGGTTGGGGGACACGGTGCCTGGAGGCTGGGGGACAGGGTGCCTGGAGGCTGGGGGACAGGGTGCCTGGAGGCCGGGGGACACTGTGCCTGGAGGCTGGGGGACACTGTGCCTGGAGCCTGGGGGAGTCCAGCAAGGGGACGTGGGCTCCGCAGTCTGATGCTGGGGCCTGGGACTGCTCCTTGCTGGCCTGTCACCCAGGCAAGTTACTTAAACTTTCTGAGCCTCTGAAAGTTTCTGAGACTTAAAAATGTGGGCACTGATAACACCCAGCTTCAGTCTGTATGGTGCTTTGGGAATTCTAGAACAGTGATGGCGAACCTTTTGAGGTTGGTGTGTCAGCATTTTGAAAAACCCTAACTTAACTCTGGTGCCGTGTCACATATAGAAATTTTTTGATATTTGCAACCATAGTAAGACAAAGACTTATATTTTTGATATTTACTTTATATATTTAAATGCCATTTAACAAAGAAAAATCAACCCAAAAAATGAGTTCGTGTGTCACCTCTGACACGCGTGCCGTAGGTTCGCCATCACTGCTCTGGAGGGTTCTATGGAAGCTGTTTGTTGTTTGAGTGTAGAAGGTGAAGGCTGGATATTCAGTCGGCACACCAGCGCCCACAGAGGGCCCTCGGGCACTCTCGGCCTCTGAGGCCACAGGAGGCTGGGGAGGGGAGGGAACTGGCCCGAAGCTCAGGTAGACAGTAACGCGGAGGCGACCCCCAGGCTGGGCACTCGGCGTGGCGCCTCGCGTGCCTTTGGGAGGGGCAGGCTGCGTGGCTCGGGGGGCACAGCAGGGACAGCTGGGTTCCAGCGGAGGGCACAGAGGATCTCTCCTTGAGGGAATGGCCGGCACAGGTGTGGCTGGGTGTGGGGGCTGGGGGAGTGGTGGCAGCCACACACACAGTGTGACTTGCTTTATGTCTTCAAGCCCCTTCCACACCCACACTCACACTCACACTCTGCTCACGGTCACACCCCGAGGGAGGGCAGGCCTGGCCTCCGGCCTCCGAATGTACAGACTGAAGCCCAGTGCGGTCTGGTGGCTCGCAGTGCGTGGCTGTCCTTGCCGGGACTGGAAGGGGATGCGGGGAGGGTGGGGCAGGTGAGCCCTGGGGGAAAGAGGTTGTGCTGCATCTCAAGGGAGACAAGGCAGGAGCACCTGGGGAGGCAGGGCTCACGGAGGCTGGGCAGGCAGCGCTCCATCCTGTGTCCCTGGGCTGGGCCAGGAGAGCAGGTGGCTCAGGGTGCGGTGTCCCGTCGGGCGGTACCAGCAGGTTCTGAAGCAACAGCGGGGGCCCCCACTCCTGGCTCCCACCCAGCTTTCCCGCCTGGGCAGCGCTGAGTTGGGAGCAGAATCCCCCCGCCCCTAAGCCCCTCGCTGGAGGGAGCCGCTGAGCAGACAGGGTCCTGCGGGCCCTGCCCTCTAGGAAGCCCTCTGCCGCTGGCTTTCTCTCTTCTCAGTGTCTCTTTTGCTGTCTGTCCTTCCTCCCTGGTCCTCCATTGCTCTATTGTTTCCTCGGTGTCTTCTCCCAGCTGGTCCCTGGGAGTCTACGCCCACCTCTCGGCTCTGTCTGCACCTGCTGTCTCTCTGGGGCCGGTCCTGCAGGCCACTGGTCCTGCTCCACCCTCCTTGAGTCTTTCTCCCAGGCCTCCCACTGTGCCCCTCCTTTCCTCTTCTGGCAGATGGCTGTCCCCGCCCCCTCCCAGAACAACAGAACCGCCCCTATCCTGCCGGCTCCCTTTCCTTTAGATTACAGCCTCTTCCTTTCTTTTCTGCCCCAAACTCTCCCTGGGCTCCTCGCAGGAGAAATCAAAGTGGCAGGTGAGGGAGATGGGTCTGAAAGGTGAGGGAGGAAGCCAAGCCTCTCGGGCCCTACTAACCATGATTTTCCTCCCCAGGGACCTTGGCTAAGAGCATTGGGACCTTCTCAGACCCCTGTAAGGACCCCACACGTATCACCTCCCCCAATGACCCCTGTCTCTTCGGGAAGGGTGGCTCCAGCAGCTCTGTTTCCAGTTCCGGTGGCTCTGGTGGTGGCTCCAGTGTCTCCAGTGTCTCCAGTGGTTCCAGTGGTTCCAGTGGCTCCAGTGGTGGTTCCAGCAGTGGCTTCAGTGGTAGTTCTGGCGGATCCATTGGCTCCAGTGGTTCCATTGGCTCCAGTGGCTCCAGTGGTGGTTCCAGTGGCTCCAGTGGATCCAGCAGTGGCCCCAGCGGTGGCCCTAGCAGTGGCCCCAGCAGTGGCTCCAGCAGTGGCTCCAGCGGATCCAGCGGTTCCAGTGGCTCCAGCAGTGGCTCCAGCGGTGGCCCTAGTGGTGGCCCTAGCGGTGGCCCCAGCAGTGGCTCTAGCAGTGGCTCCAGTGGATCCAGTGTGGCCCAGGGTGGTCATTCACGTCCTTTGCTGTTTCAGCCAGGGACAGGCTATTCCCAGAGCAGCTACACCTCTGGGTCTGGCTCCAGTCTGCACAGTGCCTCCAGCTCCTCCCAGTCGGGATCTGGCCCAGCTGCACCAAGCAATGGTGGCTCTTCCCACTTCGTGATAAGCTCCTCCCAGTCTGGAGGAAGCTCGAGCTCTTCTGTCTCCCAAACTTCCTGGACATCCAGCAGTGGTGGCCAAAAGGTCAACTCTAACTTACGCCCCTGTAGCTCGGACATCCCCGACTCTCCCTGCAGTGGGGGACCCGTCGTCTCCCACTCTGGCTCCTACATCTCCAGCTCCCACTCCGTGTCAGGGGGTCAAAGGCCAGTGGTGGTGGTGGTGGAGCAGCATGGCTCCGGTGGCCCCGGTGGCCCCGGTGGCCCCTGTAGCAATGGTGGCTCTCCAGGCAAGCCCTGCCCCCCCATCACCTCTGTAGACAAGTCCTACGGCAGCTATGAGGTGGTCGGCGGCTCCTCTAATAGCTATCTGGCCCCGGGCATGACTTACAGCGGGGGCAAAATCTACCCGGTTGGGTACTTCACCAAAGAGAACCCTGTCAGAGGCTCTCCAGGGGTGCCTTCCTTTGCTGCTGGGCCCCCCATCTCTGAGGGCAAATACTTCTCCAGCAATCCCATCATTCCCAGCCACAGCTCCAGTGCCAGCATCTACCCGTCAGGAGCCTCCTCGGTCGTCGTGTTCCAGCCAGTGGGCTCTGGTGGCGTCCAGCCCTGTGCAGCGGGCTCCTCGGGCTCGAGGGGGCCCTGCTCCCTCTCGGGTTCTGGGGTCCACAGTGCTTCCGGCGGCTCTGGGTCGCAATACCACCCCTGCGGCAGTGTCTCCCAGGGGCCCTGCTCCCCGCCGGGCACGGGCTCGCTCAGCCAGAGCTCTGGCTCCCAATCCAGCGGCAAAATCGTCCTCCAGCCCTGTGGCAGCAAGTCCGGCTCTGCTGGTCACCCCTGCGTTCCTGCCTCCTCCTCGACTCTGACCGGGGGTCCCAATGGCTCTCCCCAGCCTGACCCCTCAGCTGGTGCCCAGCCCTGTGGCGGCTCCAAGAAGACACCCTGCCGCTCCCTCCGGGACATCCTGGCCCAAGTGGAGCCTCTGGGGCCCCAGCTAGCTGACCCTGAAGCCTTCCTGCCCCAGGGACAGTCTCATGCCGGTCCATAGTCATTTCTGCTCCATGCATGTGCAGCACACACGCACACGCCTGGGCACGGGCCAGCTGTGTCCCCTGCTCCCAGACTGCTGTTTCCTCCACTGCCAGGGTGGCACACTCCCCATCATGTTGCTTTCTTCATCTCCCCGGGCTGCTTCTCTCCTGCTGCCTGGAAGCCCAGCCTCCTGCACCACCCGCTCTGCCCCATAGCCACTCCCGGAACCTTCCTTCGCGTGGCTTTGAGATGCGACAGTCCACTGGCTAACCCTGGCCAATCCCTGCCCATTCAGATTGCAGACTGGGAAACCCCTGAAATGTCCCAGAGTAACTCTAATGCTTGGACAAGTCATCCTCCCCACATCCCTTTGACCAATAAAACACAGTCTAATCCGTTATCTGAAAATAATGACCGCTGTTGACTACCTCTTTTGGTCATCTGGTCAACCACCGGATCTGCCCAGGGTTTCCACCCCTCCAGCCCCTCTCACTTTCCTATGGAGCTCACCACAGCCTCTGTGGTTCCCACACTCCTGCCTCTCAGGGTCTCCGTCGCAGCCCTCCTTCCCGGCGGCCACGTCCCTCATGACCAGATGTGCTCCTGCCTGAGGGAGGTGCAGGGCATCCTGGGGACCCCGCGAGCCTGGCTGGCTCCCTGCTCTCCAGATCCTGGAAAAATGTCTCAATAAACGGTATGAACTAGAGGCTGGCGTTTTGCCTTCGTGGAGTCCCGGGTCCTCTTAGGACCAGGGTGGTGCCCCTAGGCCTCCAGAGGCCCGTTACCCCGGCTGTCCAGTATTGCTCTGACCTGAAGCTCCTGCCGAGGGGAGGAACACAGTGCACATCGGTGCACTGACAGCAGAGGTTGCATCATCTCCTGGATCCCCGTCCCACATCTCTCCACTCCCTTTGCTCCAGAAAGTCCATTCCCGCCTCAATCTCCACTGAACTGGGTCCTCCCCATTCTGTCTCCCCACCCAAGCTCCTTCTCCTCTACCATTAGTTTGCCTTGTCATCTAGACGTCAGGCCCTCAGGGAGCCCCAGGCAGGGATTTCCTGGGTTTCTGGGACATCAGTGGGACCTTGGGAAGGCTGGGACAAAACAACGCACACCAGGCTCCTGAGTGTGTGCAGGAGCCCAGGGGGAGGGAGTGAAAGAGGGTGAGGATGAGACCATGACAGGCGGGCAGTAAGCATGGTCCCTCCCAGGCCTGCGCACCAGTGTCCCAGCCAGTGAAGAACAGAGCCCACAGGGTCCCTAGACTCCACACTCCTGCTGCCTCTGCTGCAGGAGGTGAGAGAACACAGCACCACAGAGGAGAAGGAACTGGAGGTGGAGTGAGTGCTGTGAAATGGAGCACCATAGAAGTGAAGGGAGGGAGGTGTAGTGAGGGCTGTGGAATGGAGCACCATAGAGGTGAAGGGAGGGGGGCGGTGGAGTGAGGGGCTGTGGAATGGAGCACCATAGAGGTGAAGGGAGGGAGGTGGAGTGAGGGCTGTGGAATGGAGCACCATAGAGGTGAAGGGAGGGAGGTGGAGTGAGGGGCTGTGGAATGGAGCACCATAGAGGTGAAGGGAGGGAGGTGGAGTGAGGGGCTGTGGAATGGAGTACCATAGAGGTGAAGGGAGGGAGGTGGAGTGAGGGCTGTGGAATGGAGCACCATAGAGGTGAAGGGACGGAGGTGGAGTGAGGGGCTGTGGAATGGAGCACCATAGAGGTGAAGGGAGGGAGGTGGAGTGAGGGCTGTGGAATGGAGCACCATAGAGGTGAAGGGAGGGAGGTGGAGTGAGGGCTGTGGAATGGAGCACCATAGAGGTGAAGGGAGGGGGCGGTGGAGTGAGGGCTGTGGAATGGAGCACCATAGAGGTGAAGGGAGGGAGGAAGGGGAATGAGGGCTGTGGAATACAGAACCATAGGGGAGAAGGAGCTGCAGGTGGAGTGAGGGCTGTGGAGTAGAGCCATAGAGGAAAAGGGAGGTGGCTTCTGTGGGAGGAGAGAGGGAGTGAAGGTGGTGGGCGCCCTGTGCCAATGTCTTGGGGACAGGCCGAGTGAGCCGGAGGCCCTGGAAGTTCAAATTTCTCATGTCATGGAGGCAGGAGGGGCTGTGCCTTTGTCTATAGAAATAGCCCCTCTCCAAAGCACAGGACACCCCTCACATGCTCTGCTTGGCTGCGAAGGAACTCACCCTACCTTACAATGTAACCCATCCCTCCTCCTGGGATCGTGCCAGCCGGTCCCAAATGCAGGACTATTGTTGAAATGTCAAGCCTGGAACCAGCAGAAATGTGTGACAGAAATGACCTGGGGCACCCTGCAGGGCTGGCTGCGGGTGGGGGAGGGCCCAGAGCAGTGTGGCTTGGTAGTCACTGCTGGCCCGCAGGAGTGCAGTCAGGGCCAGGAATCACTGTCAGGGAGGGCTCAGGACTGTGCGATGAGCGAACCCATCTGCTTTTACTGCGGACCCACACTTGCCAACCCGGACAGGGCTTCCGCACACCCTTCCAGCTAACCCCGCGGGGGAGGCACTGCTGGGCCCATTGCACAGGTGGAGACACAGGCCCGCAGGGGAGCGAGCCGAGGAGGTCTGGCACTGGGTGCTGGCTGAGGGCGCTGAGCAACTGTTGTTTAAAAACCAAGTTCCCTGGCAGGACAGTGATCTGTGCATAGCAGAGGCCCTAAGGTTTGCAGCGGGAGCTGCTGCTGTGTCTGCAGTGTTAAGGGTGGCTGTGGCACCATGGTGGCTGCTGCGCAGGGCCACAGCCCCTTTCCTGGTCTGGGGCTGGAGGACGGAGGCCCCTGCAGCCTCAGCCACCTTCTCCGCCTGTCAGTGGAGACCCGTCCTCCCTGCGGCCCTGCTTCCTCACCTGGCGAGGGAGGAAGGCAGATGTGGTCTCGCTCGCAGGGAGGGCAGCAAGTCTAGGTAAGATGTGCCTGAGGGACTGAGGAGCCCCGAGCCAGCGGCTGAGCGACTGGTCCACATGCAGTCGCTGCCCAAGGCTGCCGGGGAGGGTGCTGTGCTGCTCCCACTGGGAGTCACACGCAAGAGAATGATTCCAACATCAAGAAGAGAGATTGGGGAGAAAACCAAGATGGCTGCATAGGTAAACACCAGAGATTGCTGCCTCGCGCAACCACTTCAAAAATACAACTAAAAGACTGAACGGACATCATCCAGAACCACAGGAAGGCTGGCTGAGTGGAAATTCTACAACTAGAAGGAAAGAGAAAAGCATACCGAGACTCAGAGGAGGTGCGGTGCAGAAGTAAAATACAAAGGTGCAGAGGTGCATGTGGAGAGGGTTGGCGGCTGAGGTCACGACTGTCTTTTTCAATCGGGAGGGAGTCTCAAGCTCTGAGGTCCAGTTCCGGGCGAGTCTCTGGGGACCCAGACTCATACAGGAGAAACGGGACTGAGGGCAGCTTTCTCTCAGAGGCACACGCAGCGATTGCTGGGGCCTCTGAGGACAGGACTGAGAGCAGCCATACTGCTTGCTCTGCCCTCCCAGTTGATCCCCTGGGGTTCCGCCCCACCCAAGCTGTGCATGGAGGCCTTTGCATATGAAAGGCCTGGCTCTTTGTAACAAACTGCAGCTGCCCAAGGCCCCAGAGCAACTTGAATTGCTTTACAGCTGGCTTCTGCAGAGTAGCCTCAGGCAGAGGCTAGATTAGCACCTCCTTAGATCCAAGAGCCAGTGTACCCAGTGGTCAGAGTGGGACCATCCCGATTGCAGCTCCTCGGATCCATAAAGGACACACTCAGGGGGCAGACTCAGTGAGCACCAAAGCCCCACTGAAGCGAGTCTTGCACCATAAGGGTGTCTCCAGCAAAGAAGTTCTCCCACCGTAGACAAAGCTGATTCTCACAGCCAATTGGCCTGGAGGTCAAATCCTTCCAGTGTTACCTACAATAATCAAGGCTTAACTACAACAAGACTGTGCACAAAGCCCACAAGGGGGTTCACCAAGAGTGTCTACCTCAGGTAATTGGGGAGGCTGAGCCACTGGGCCCTATAGGACACTTAGCACAGAAAGCCACTCTATCGACACAGCGAAGCATAAAAAATGCCGAGACAAAGAAACAGGACACAAATGACAGAAATGGAAGAAAGCAAACTACTGGATATAGAGTTCAAAACCACACTTTTAAGGTTCTTCAATAACTTTCTAGAAACTGCCGATAAATGTAGTGAGACCCTCAAGAAATCTAGTGAGATCCTTGAGGTTGTGATAAACGACCAACTAGAAATTAAGCATACACTGACTGAAATAAAGAATATTATACAGACTCCCAATAGCAGACCAGAGGACCGCAAGAATCAAGCCAAAGATTTGAAATACAAAGAAGCAAAAAACACCCAACCAGAAAAGCAAAATGAAAAAAGAATTCAAAAATACGAAGATAGTGTAAGGAGCCTCTGGGACAACTTCAAGCGCACCAACATCTGAATTATAGGGGTACCAGAAGAAGAGGGGGGCAAGATATTGAAAACCTATTTGAAGAAATAATGACAGAAAACTTCCCCTACCTGGTGAATGAAATAGACTTACAAGTCCAGGAAGTGCAGAGAACCCCCCAAAAAAGGAATCCAAAGAGGACCACACCAAGACACATCATAATTAAAATGCCAAGAGCAAAAGACAAAGAGAGAATCTTAAAAGCAGCAAGAGAAAAAAAGTCAGTTATCTACAAGGGAATACCCATACGACTGTCAGCTGATTTCTCAACAGAAACTTTGCAGGCCAGAAGGGAGTGGCAAGAAATATTCAAAGTGATGAATACCAAGAACCTACAACCAAGATTACTTTATCCAGCAAAGCTATCATTCAGAATTGAAGGTCAGATAAAAAGCTTCACAGATAAAGAAAAGCTAAAGGAGTTCATCACCACCAAACCAGTATTATATGAAATGCTGAAAGGTATCCTTTAAGAAGAGGAAGAAGAAGAAAAAGGTAAAGATACAAATTATGAACAACAAATACACATCTATCAACAAGTGAATCTAAAAATCAAGTGAATAAATAATCTGATGAACAGAATGAACTGGTGATTATAATAGAATCAGGGGCATAGAAAGGGAATGGACTGACTAGTCTTGGGGAGGAAAGGGGTGTGGGGGATGCCGGAAGAGATTGGACAAAAATCGTGCACCTACGGATGAGGACAGTGGGTGGGGAGTGAGGAGGAGGGTGGGGTGGGAACTGGGAGGAGGGGAGTTATGGGGGGAAAAAAGAGGAACAAATGTAATAATCTGAACAATGAAGATTTAATTTAAAAAAAAAATAAAGTTTAACCTCTCAATGTTTAGAAAAATCTCTATTTGATAGGAGAAAATAAAAATTTACATTTAAAAAGCCAAAAAAAAAAAAAAATCAGGGAGATTGGCTTCTCATTTCAGTACTTAATTCCTCAAACTGTCCACTCAGATGTTTTTCACTTACACATACTCTCCATGAATGAAATGTGTTACAGGGTTATTTCTGTGCGTGCGTGCGTGCGTGTGTGTGTGTGTGTGTGTGTGTGTGCAGCCTTTATTTCAAATGTTAAAATACCATCAGATTGTTCCCCAAGACAAGAGCAAAGACCGTGCCTACAGGAGCCGAGGGACGATGTGCAGAACTTTACAAAACAGGGGCTGCTTCCGAGGGCGCCTGGCTGTGCCGGCGCGGGGCTCTGGGTGGGCCCTGCCAGGGCAGGCGGCAGGG